AATATTTTGTTTGAAATTTAATAAAAAATGAAAATTTTCTTTGTTAAAAAGTTGCACAAGTGAAAAATCAACCAGAGGCAGATGCAAAGTGAATTGTGATGAATTATTAAAAACAAAAACATATATACAATATATACGTATGTATAGGAATCTCTATATATATGTGYATAGGTATGTATGTATGGATTGGTTTGACGTCCAAGTTAAATTATATTTTTAGGCTTAAGGCATGTCTAGATGATAAGCAAATTGTTTACACAAATTGTTACTAAATGTAGTTAAAGTCGGAGGAGGCGATTAACTAACTAATCTAATCTAAGCGATATATCAGGCAAACGGGGAACACAACTAAAGGCGAGCAGCATTTGAGAGTTATACGACTATATATATAGATATATATAGTAACTGTTTCTTTGTCGGTTGAAAAAGTTTATATATCAGAATATAAATCAAGCCATAGATTTTGTTAAAGAAAACATAAACTGAAATCAAAAGTTAAAAAATACGTTTCAAAGTATACATAGGTATGTATATACATATATATTTGTGTACGTAATTCAAATTGTTCATAATGAAAAACAAAAATCAAAAAAATAAAATCAAAAACTAGAAGAAGAAAACTCAATAACATCAAAAACGATTTATTCATAAATATCTTCTCTACATATGAAATGTAATTAATTTTTCAAATATCAACAGAAACCAAATAAAAGAACTTACTAAATGTGTCCATTTAACTACAGAACTGAAATGTCTTTTAAATTCTCCGATGACTTTTGCAGTCAATGCGAAAAGCCAATATACTCTACTTACACACATGTACAGTTGAAGAGTTATCCAAGACCTTCGCTTTTGGAGGCAAGTCAAGCTGGCTATCAACTGCAGTTATGGCCAATTATCACATATTCGACTAATTATGTTTGAATTTCAATTAAATTTATTGATGTGCATTAGTTGTCATTAAAAGCAAGCGGCCACAGCAGGGCTGGCATTGTAGGCTTCGACCCGCAATATGATATATTAATAACGTCTGGCTGCATCACATTATAAATTACCTTTGCATTATGTTTAGTTGGAAATTTGCCCTCGCATCAATTGCCGACTCTAAATCAATTAAATTAGTCTCCACGCTGCCAACGCTTCGTCCTATTGCCGACCGCAATATCCATTAAAAGCAGCTAATGGAATTTTATTCAAATAATAAATTGCATTTACAGTTAAATGGGGAACGCACTGTAAATGTAAATGTAAATTGTAAATTGTAAATGCCACTGCATTAAAATCAATTGAACTTTGAATACCAAAAATGGGTAGCTAAGCGCGAGTGCCAAAAGCTGTGATTTATTTGCCATACACGAGCATGGGCACATGGCATGCGAAATTGGCAGATGTGACGCCAGGCACGCACGCTGTATCTCCATGTATGCATATACACTTATAATATAGACCTGATTTGTTTGTGTGCTGTGCTGCCTTACAAAAAACAGCTTTGCCTGCGACCCAATTAGTCGAAATTATGCACAATTTCAAATGCAATTTTCTGTGGCATTGATTTTGCAGTTTAGCAGGTTTAATGGTAAAATTGGTTGAAATTCTTAGAAAGTAGGGCACTCTTACTTGCCAAAACATATTGATAACGTTCAGAGCGGCGCTTTTAAGAACTAAATTTTAAATAATAACCGTCAGGAGCAGCACTTTAGCCATCTAGCAGTATTTTGGGGTATTAGTCAAACTAGTCAAATACCCACCAACAAGCCATCTATCCACAGTTTGCTACATACACTACAATGCTACGTATACAAATACGACTCAAAGAAGAAGCTGACTGCTATGTAACCCCATAACTAGCAGGAACGACATCTAGCGGTCGTTAGCTGCATTACTTTGCTATGCACGCAGCGGAAACAACCAATGAGCGCTTTTGAGCGCTCCCTGTTGCCAGTTTGTTGAACTACTAAATGCAAGCAGCTGATTTTGGCTGACCGGCATATGGCATTTTTTAGTACATTTAAATGCGTATAAATACATATTTGAGGATGGCCTTAAAATATATTGGTAAATACAAGGGATTTGTAATATATTTAAATAGCTAATGAGTTGCTTGCAGATATTGGTGCTAATCTAACAGATTCCATGTATCAAGGGTGCTATGGCGGCTCTACTAAACATCCAGCGGACTTAGATATTGTATTAGAACGCGCGTGGCAAAATGGACTACAAAAGATAATTATAACTTCTGGCTGCATTAAAGATGTGGATGAATCACTGGAGCTAGCTGCCAAGGACGGTTAGTTAACTAAAAGAGAGAATGTGTAAAACTAAATTATAGCCTTGTTTACCTGCAGAACGTCTGTACACAACCGTCGGTGCCCATCCCACTCGCTGCGGCGAATTCCTATCCGATCCGGCGAAATACTATAACGATTTACGTTCGCGAATCAAGGCGAACTCGGAGAAGGTAATTGCTGTGGGTGAATGTGGCTTGGACTATGACCGACTGCACTTCTGTGAAAAGGAAACACAGTTGGAGTACTTTGAAAAACAGCTCACTTTGGCAGAGGAATTCCAATTGCCACTCTTTTTGCATATGAGAAATGCTCACGAGGATTTCATGAAGATTCTCGAGCGTAATCGTGACAAGCTCGAAGCCTGTGGCGGCGGAGTCGTGCACAGCTTTACAGGCACATTAGAGGAGGCGAAGAGTCTGTTAGACTTTGGTGGCCTGTATATTGGGCTGAATGGCTGCTCTTTGAAGACCAAGGAGAATCTGGAGGTAGTGCAGCAGCTGCCTAATGAGCGGATTATGCTGGAAACAGATTGCCCCTGGTGTGGCATACGACCCACCCATGCGGGCCATCAGCATTTGACCACCAAATTTCCTACAGTCAAGAAGAAGGAGAAATGGACTAAAGATGCCTTGATTGATGGTCGCAGCGAGCCATGTCAGATTAGGTGAGTGTGCTTAGTGGATCAAAGTTATGTTAACCTTAGCTATCTTTCTGTATTTTAGTCAAGTTCTGGAGGTCATAGCAAGCATCAAACAGCAGCCCAAGGAGCAGCTCGCAGATATCTACTATCAAAATACACTAGATTTGTTTTTCAAAAGATCCAAATAAATAATATTGTTAAAGTCAAATAGCAATTGTAGTCTGGTCGATGATAGCAAAAAGTTATATCTGACTAATAGAGAAGACACTTATACATATAGAACTTTGCCACTTATGTTGAGCTTGGTATAGTTATTTCTACGATGGGGATGTACTGGTCGATTTGTTTTCTATATTTCTGTCATATCCAAAAATAAATCCATTTCTAAATTGTTTACATTTAATGCTTTTACATTTATTGTATTATATTATTGTTGCTCATGTCCTAAATGCAAATGAATTCAAAAATACGCATTACAACTCGATCCGTGTCAAATTGTATATATATGAACTTTTTGTAATTATCTGTTCTTTTTAGCTGACACAGAAACACATATAGATTAACATTTAGATTCTTTCGTCTTTTGTAAATAATTGTTATTTAATTAACTTCTTTTATATTTGTCCATTGAGTAGAGATGTTTTGCCAAAAAATATATAGTATATAGTATATATATATAGATATATGTATGTTGCCCCAATTTTAAAGACTAGTGAAGTTTTGTAGCTTAGTTATTGCCCTCTCTTTTGGTTAAGATAGATCATTTATATATATAGATATATCGATATAGTGACGATTACATTATTTAGAAGCCTTAAAAAGCGTATATACAAAATATTTTGTAAATATTTTAAAAAAGTCTGTTAACTAGCCATAGAACATTTTCGAGTATCAGATAATGTGGATTAGAGCTTTCCCAAATTGTATATAGTAAATGCTATCAACAAGTTGCTTCACTATATAAGCATTAAAAACCCAAATATTTTCTCTTTATAAAATGTGCTTTAAAATTTTGTTTACAGATCTATTTCTTGTAACTGATATGAAGTCAAATGATATATAGCATATAGATGTATATGATAGATTTGTAGTTTACTCAGTTGCATTTTAAATGACAATTCAAGATTCAGTCCAATAGAAATACATATAGCTCAATGCTCAATTGATATGAATCCATATATATATCTAGCATATAAGATTCCACGTTAATGTTACGTCAGCTGGGACTTTAAAAACTCTATATATATTATCTATATATGCGTTTACTTATCTTTAGTTTATAGCTTCTTTAGCTATAAGTTTTATACGCGTTTAAAATATTTAGAATCATGAAATTGACTTGAGTTAGAAAATAACTAAACAAAAATAATTACATTTTAAAAATATATATAGCATATATGATGATACGACAATTTCATTTATTGGGCGTCATATTTAAATAGTGTTAAATTATATAGAATATATACACAAAACAAG